AAAGCTTACTCTAGAAAAAAATATGCATATAAATGCTTTTAATTAGTGAAAAAGGTAATTACGTGCATTTCTATACTCAAAAAAGGATAAGTTCTCATAAAATATCTGGAGAACATTTCAGATTCTTCATTTCTTTGACCTCCCTTTTTTCACAGCATATCTTTGGCAGAGTTGTTTTGGGTTTTTTATTAGCACCTCACTTACTTTCTTCAAAACTTTCTTATAAGCATTTCAAATGCTAAAAAGTAGAGTTTCCCTCCAATACTTCTTTAGACTTGTGAGAGAAAAAAGTGCTTATAAACAATTTGAAGAATAAGCTCCACCAAACAAACAGCCATTGAGGGTCATTAGCTCCCATGCATTTATCAGTCAAATGCATGCACATTTGCTAAAGCCAAGGTATAACACGATAATATTTTCAAATACTTCACAAATGACCCCCTCCATGCCTCTTATCTGCGAAGATATCTTAATCACAAAAGCAGATAAGAAATGTTATAAAATTGTATTGTTTGATGAAGTATTCCATAAGTTGATTAGTACAACCTCCATTTGAAAGCAAATTTTGGTTCACAAGTTAGAATTACATCATTATTTGTTTCACAAAAAATGTACAGCTCTAAATGAACAGAAACCGTCTAAAGCTCAGCTAACTCATTGACATATAATTACATTTGACATACAAAAAGCCCATTTTCCATAGCCTCCCCTACCCTCTACCTCGTCCTCATCTTCTCCTATTGGCATTGTCACAGGATGACTCCATGAACATACCGTCAGCCAGTTTATATTGGCATGTAATGACTCCATTAAACCTTATAAGCAATCAAAATTATGCATATAGGGATGGAAGAAATGAAGGACTTCAACTAGTCTTCAACTTTTCTTTGCAAAACTTAGAAAATAAAAGCCAGAAATCAACTAGAATGTCAAATAAAATAGAGCAAGTTAGATGTCCATTATACCTGAAGTGACTCCTCAGTATAGCTTTCTTTCACTTTATGCAAGTTAGATGTTTCAACAACAATAGAGCTTCCGCTTGAATAACCCATCTTCCCAACTAATGTAATCTTTGCAACAGACTCAAGGACACCCTCATGGGAACTAGACCCAGACACGCTGGCAGCAAGATGGCTACTAGGAGAAGCAGATCCACCAGAAGCTCCACTAATGCTATTATCAAATAAAGGAACAATAACCCAGGTGAAGGACTCTCTGTAAGGCATAATTCGAGACCACACCTGCAGTTTCTGCCTTTCTCTCTCAGTCAAGTGCACCTGTTAAGGAGAAGATAGAGAACAACAATAATTATAAGGAATTTATTTGAGATGCAGAGGGTAAAATGTGCAATTCCCTTAGAAATGATTACCATTAAGCAATAACAATAGTCAAAAACCATACAACTACTAAAATAAATCAAAATTCTATTTATTTTCCCCGAGCTTTCATCAACTCTAAAATACTAAGAGTGTCCTACAACAAACTTGATGTTCAGTTCAACATTAGTGGCTGAAGATCTACCCTCATATTCCAATAGCGAAAACCATGTTGCCTCACACATGCAACAATTCTCAACTGACATAGTTTAAATTATTTATAGACTTTCCTAATCATCTCTTCACTAAAATGAGAACACTTAGCATGCAATGTAACAATTTAAGTTCAAATGCACAACAGCTGCATCACCAGGTTCTTTTATTGCTTTGTTTTCTCTCATCTTTTAAAATGTCAACGTTCACCAAATGCCAGTTGATTAATATTTCTGAGAAATAAACATCCCTTCCTACTAGACGTACCAAAACATTGAATTCTAATCACCTATGAGAAACAATTTCATAATCAACTGATCCAAAACATTAGAGTAACAAAAGGATCAATGCAAGCAAAATAGAAGTCACTTATAATTTGTAAGGAAGCATAGATAAAAGAAAGTATGGTAATATGTAGCAGTAGGAGCATAGATGAATGAATATGGATGAAAATCAGTATGGATGAAAATCCACTGAAGAATTACTAATTTCACAATTATCTTGCTGTAAGAGAAAGACCAAATGCTCCACCATCTCAGCTAATGGTTAATCACCCTGGCCCAAATACTAAAATATCAAGCATTAATTGCAATGCCAATGATTAGCTATCTTATCTAGCAGATGCAGAGCCCTTATTTTCCACAGTAAGAACTACAATAAAAACCAATTGAAAGACAGATGATGAGGGGGCGATAGTTAAAATTCTTGCCGCCAGATAACAACCAAGCCAACAGGTAAAAATCTTGCTGCCAGGTAACAAGCAAGCCAACAGGTAAAATTCTTGCTGCAAGGTAACAAGCAAGCCAACAAAAGAGAAATTTTGTCACATTTAATCAGAGGTCAGATTGAAGATGAACAAGATGGAAACATATAAGTTCTTCATACATACAGGTTCTTTACATGAATAAACAGAAGGAGTCACCCCCCCTTCTTCTGTTGCAGGCTTAGCTAATTGGATTAGTAGACAAACAGATGCTGACGGAACATCTAAATAGAAAACTCCACGAGGTTCTGAAGATGCGTTATTAGTCTGTCCAGGTAAATGAGAAAGAGTGGATTTTTAAGTCATCACTATGAAAAACCAAAGCACCAAAGAATTTAATGCTAAATTAGTTTTAAGGCTTACATCCTGCATTTCAGTTGGTAGAATGCTAAAATAGAAATCTTCTGACAATTTTTCTCTTCTCTCCCTATTGTATAAGCAAATTGTACCATAGAATGGCTCTGAGACAAATAGAGGGAACTAGGTCAGAAATCTTAAAAGTGCAAAAAACAATGAAATAAAGCAGTATCCTAACATTATAAAGATGCAGCAGCTTGGGGATAACAGGGAAAGAACACTAACCAACGATTCAGCTCACAAACCTGACACAATCTAGCATCGAATCACCAATGAAATCAAAGTTTCTTGATGGCTTGGTGAGATTCAAAAAAAAAAAAAAGAAAAATTTCTGTTCATCTATAAGTTAATATGAACCATATAAGCACAGTAGAAACCAGCATCATCTAAACCAAAGAAGACAACATTAATAATGCTGCATGAAATTCACAGTCAAGAATTGAAAAAGCAGATCAGATTAATCTTTGCTAAACTTAACCCAATATTTAAGTGAGCAAATGCCATTACACAACAACCACAAACTTTCCAGGATAAAAGTTACTGAAACGTTAACAATCATTAAATGTGAATGTTCTTCAACTTCATATATTTTATCTTTCCAAAATTTTCGATATTTCCATACTAAAATTCAAATTTCAATTGCTATTCATTAATTACAAGAATCATCAATCATCAAACAAAGAAAGCAAACCTTAGGCCACACATTCATCAACAACAATGGCCACTGCTCAATCACTCCGTACCTTGCATTCACCACTTCCTCCACCGCAAGCACCCTCTTGCACCAGAAAACCAAAAAACCACAAAACATCGCCCCCAGAAAGACCCCCCACTTCAGCACAATCTTCAGAAACTCCAAATCCAGGCCTAAAACCTCACCTTGGTCACCAACCAGATCATTGTTTTTTCACTTAACGATCTCATAAGAGCTCTAGTACCAACAATGCCAAGTATTCACAATATCAAAGTGTAAATTCCACCAAAAATGGACGGATTGAAACAATTGGAGACTGTGCTCTTGGATGAAAATTTTATTGAGCATTTCAAATTTCAATTGTGTTGCACGAAACCCAAACACTTGGATCCGGGAATGAAGGGGGGTTGATTGATAACAGCAGATTTAGGTGCCTCAACCCCCCACAATAGTTATAGCTGAAGGGAAATGTTAAAAATTCAGGGAAAAAAAAAAAACTGTATTCCCTTTCCCAATGGGGTAATTGATGGATTTGCTGCAGATGGAACGCAGGAGTTGGGATTCATAATAGAAGAGGAACCCTAAAGAGGTGAAATTGAGGCTGTGGAAATGGAGGCTACTTCCATTGGCTTCTTTCTGTTGTGAAGGAAGATGTTGCGAGAGAGAGACCGAAGCCCAAATCATAAGACTTACCCTTCCCAACATGACAATTACAGTTATATCCCCAAGACGATAACCATCCAAAAATCCAGATTCCCCACTTATGAAATGATTCCATCAAAACCCCATCTCAAAATTCAAACTTCCGCATTTCCCCCTTCAGCCCATCAATGTGAAACAAGAATTTTTATGAGTCTGCTAATGGGAATCTCTAGAACAAAACTGTAAAGAAAGAAAACTCGACATATCTTCGCTACCAGTTTGATACCATACCAACCGGCTTAAAAGAAGTACATTAATTGGACATGCATATACAACTAAGAAAGATTAACAGCATATAATTTAAATCAGCCGTCGTACCCGCCCAGATTGTAAAACACTTTCTCAATATATTTTATAATAAAGAAAGACAAAATTACGAAGCATAATAAAGACAAGAGAAGGCAGACAATTTTAGACAAGCCAATGCCAGCCATAACAAGAACTTCAAACCCGAAAAGCACTTATTCAGGAAACATTAAATCAGAAGCTCTAAAACATCAACTCTGCAACTAGCTTCTTCTTT